AGGGTGTGAAAATACTTCTAATATTTAATATTATATGCTGGAAATTAGACGTTTTGAATCTTACCCTACCTGCCTCCCCTTAGCTCGACCACTGCCCCTATAGTTTTAGCTGGTGAATAAGAAAATAATGTCTTGGTAGCCACTACATAAAAATATACTAGTACATGACAATTTGAGAATTATCGTACAGTGAAATTTTGTTGGAAAAAAGAAGGATTAGATTGCCGAATGACCCATCATTAAAGATTAGGAGTTTTAGCTTGCACCCCTTAATTGATTGCACGCTGACGTATATGAATTAAACTTTTATCCATAAACAATATAAGAAATATTTATTCAATCAAATTATTTATAAAGTATTTTCAACTTACAAGTCAATATATGTGATAGCCATTGCAGGTTAAACTATACTGATTGCGTAAATTTTTTTTTATACTTGTATAACGTAATCCAGGGTGTGTGTTATAGGTAAAAGCTGCAATTCGGGCTAGTTAATCCGCAGTTTGAAGAGACGTACGTAGTGGTTGCATGCAGTTTAATCATTAATGGTAGTAATAGTAATAGGGGAATGAGAAAGAGTACATATGGGACATTGCGGAAAAGTACGTAAAATTATTACTTCCAAGTATACAGACACATGCATGTGATTTCCTGATAACTTCATCTGTCAACTCTTCGACCATACATACATATATATATGAGACCTAGCAGCATAATGCATGGTACGTACGAGTGTGTAGTATATTTCTATGAGTCAAGTAAATGGATTAAAAAGAGATGAAAATTTCAATTTGGAAAATAAGAAAGACCGATAAAGCATTGCACAGTAGTAAAGTTCGCAAAAATATAAGACCTGCAAGCCTGAGTCCATAAAGGAACGCATGCATGTGAGTTCCTAATAATTTTTTTTCTGTCCAGTTTCATTCGTAGAATCACAAGTCTAACAGTAGTATATGACTATATTACATGGATTCTTCATTATTTTAGATGTATCCCTATTGGATAGGTGTGACATGCGCAAAGACTGATCCAAAAATTAAGAGTTAGCGAGTTCAGAGTAGGTGTAAATATGCAATATATTAGATATGTACAAATGGTCTTAAATTTACTTTTACATATATACATAGTCCAAATCAAACACGCTTACAAGCAAGCGGCGGAAGAAAAATTTTTATCAAGGGGATTCAAAAAATTAAAAAAGTAAACATGCAAAGAAGCTCTAAGAGGATTCAACATAACATCTAATATATGTACAAGAAAAAAAAATTGACCTTATATACATAATGTACTTTTCGGCGAAGGGAGTTCGGGTCCGCTCACCTAGCTCCCCCCCTGCTTACAAGTTACTAGATCTGTCACGTACCTAGCATACTCGAGTCTATGTAATAGAGCTGTAGCCTGGAAGCTGTAAAACAAATGCTGCTACTATTGAAGATTTTAGTACAGCAAACAAAGGAAATTTATAAAAAATGTGGCATGATTATTTATATGTGGTTTTACAGAGTCAGCGAGTCGATGTCGATCAAGTTAAGAATGTCTGCTGCTGCTTCTTGGTAGCCATTCGTATATAGGAGGTCCCCTGTGGACAAAGGTTAAGTTCTTATCTAGCTAAAGCACATATATTTATATAAGAATTCAGCGATTTGCAAGTCACCTAAGACCAACATATATTGCAGCAATGAAATGGACGTAACAGAAAATAGGGGGATCACCATGTCAGAAATCTTAATCTCATTTAGTTATATATTTCTCGTGGAAAGGAAGCGTTAGAGAAAATATACTACTTTTGGTGCTGCAACCATCTTTGTCACCTTGTTATCTGTAGCATCATGCTCATATATAAGCTCTTCAAATTCTCCCAAATTTAGAGGCTGTCCTGTTTTGACAATATTATGATATATCTTGTTGCACGCAAATTTGGACTTCCACTTTAAAGATTAATACATGATCATAAAGGTTGGATGCACTTGGAGGCGGAGGGTAGAAGCTCTGATATGGCAGAGCCGAGCTAGAATTTGAAGTTTATGGATTCTGAACTTATTATCGAACCCATAACTCGTTTTATTACGGGGTTTGCAATTAAACATTTGTACATATTTAATGAATTTTCTAATACAAAAAAAAGGCGTAAATAAAAGTTGCTGAGTTCATCCAAACTTGTCCCTAATACGTACTCTCCCTCCGCCCTGGATATGGATTCTGCCGAATTCAATTGGTTTCCTCAAATAACGTATTTTTATTAAAAAATTCACTAAATATGCACATATTAAATCTAGAATCCAGTTATTAACACTTGAAGTGATTGTTTTAAAATTCAGAACCCATAAAATTAAAATTTTGGCTCCACCTCGGACTAGGGCGCAAGTGTTTTTGGCTATTGAGTCCTTTTATGAAGTCCGTTAGAAGACATTTGATAAAATTGGAAGGACAGAAAGAAAATTTGCAGATGATACACAAATTGAGAAAGATTCCTTTCATGAAGATGTTTGATGACATTATACTTTTGGGGGTTGAAAAATCATCACTACTTTCCTTTTCCCTGTATTTTCCTATTACCAATTAAACACAATGTACCCCCCATCAATAGCTATAGCTAGCCACACAAATTTCATCTTTATAATGCTGCTAATTCACAATGTTTCTTTTAATCCATTAATTCTTAATATCAAATGCAGCCGGAACTGATTTGAAGTGTATAATGTTTGTTTTACTTGGTCTAAGCCACCCTAAATAATGGTAATTTAAGCTCCACCAAGTTAATTTCGTTTGTCCATACATAACACTTCTTAATTATTCAATTTGGCGAATAATTTGGCATGCTGAGTAACATATCCTAAAAATGCTTTTGACAGTGGAATGTTAATCTTAATTACTCCCTCCGTTTCATATTGTTTGAGATACTTTCCTTTTTAGTCTGTTTCAAAATAAATGACACATTTCTAAATTTGGAAATAATTCAACTTTAAACTCTTCATTTTACCCTTTTTACCCTTAGTGAGAAGCTTTTATAGCCACACAAATGGTATGACCCCACAAACCTTTTACCCCTTAATCTTTTAAGACCACAAGTTTTAAAAGTCTTTTTCTTCTTTCTTAAACTCCGTGCCGAGTCAAACTACCTCAAAAATATGAAACGGAGGGAGTATTAATTATCTAAAGGAAAGCAAAAGGTCATGATCATATATTAGTCAAGATACTTTATTTTTAAGAAATAAAAAGTTGGAAAATGAAATTCAAATCATTTATTATTCTATCTAGTCAAGTCAAAAGAATAATAGGCAAGTGATGAATAATGGTACTTTGAGACTCTACTCCAATTTCTATTTTATCACAAGACAAACAATAACCCCTTGACAAATGGTCGAAAAGAAAGAATTGCATAATAGAAACCCAACGAAATTGTTAGGAAGGTTCTTGATCAGTTGAAATAGGACAGCATCATTTTCAAATTATAGATGGAAACTTCTTAGCATTGTTGTTATTTACTTTTGTCCGTTTTATTTTTCATTTCAGTAAAAAAATATATCTGGTCTAAAATATTCATTGCTTTAAAAATGTAAGAAGGTAATATATTTTTTCAAATATATACTGAAAAAAATATTTATATCCATTAATTTTTTATCTTAAGGAAGATATAAGAATAATTTAGTCAAATACTCCTTACAATTATGCTTTTAAATAGTTTTTTTAATGGACATGTCAAAATCTTAAGCAACAGACAAAAAAAAAGGAGAAAAATTATGGAGTATTAGCAAGTATGTTTAATCCATGCCTTTCTTACTTCAAGAAAATATTTGTAGTCTTAAATAATAGCTTTAAGAGGGTAATACGAAGGTCCTCTTCTTTGATAAGCTTGACAACAAGTAAACAATTTGTTTTCACTTTATTCTTTAAATTCCAATTATTTTGCTAATTTTAGCCTTTTTTTAATACTCAAATTTTCTAAATGGTACTAATTCTTAATTTTCAAAAAATAAAACAAATATATATAGAGAGAGAATAAAAGAAATATATATGATGTAGAAAACACAGTTAAAGGGACCTAGATGTCCCAATGAAAGGCTACAATAGGCATTAAACACAATGACATTGGCACCCAACATCAACATTGTCCTTGAGCCTTACACTCCTCCCCAAAAACACCTGCCCTTCTCTTCTCTTACCCCACAACTAACTCCACATGGCTTTGTTTCTCTCCCTTCTTCCATTNCAATAGGCATTAAACACAATGACATTGGCACCCAACATCAACATTGTCCTTGAGCCTTACACTCTCCCCAAAAACACCTGCCCCTCTCTCCTCTTACCCCACAACTCCACATGGCTTTGTTTCTCTCCTTTCTTCCATTTCTCTAACTCTTCCTTTTTTATTCAAATTTTTTGGTTGTTTGAATTTTAACTCCCCCTCCTCCACAAAGAATAGGTGACTTATACCTATTGTAAAATTTACTTATCTATCCTCGGTGTATATATATATATAAAATAAAAAAGGACGGTACCCAAGAAGTTGTGAAATAGATAATCTACCTTAATATATAATCAGTGACTCTGATTCCACATTTGTATGGTTACACCAAATCTAATAATTTAATCCTAGGAGTCACAAATTAAAATAATAATGCACATCACTTAAACATGGTTACGTACTCCCTCCGTGCCAATTTATGTAAACCTGTTTGATTGAGCACGAAGTTTAAAAAAAAATAAAGACTTTTAGAATTAGTAATCCAAAATAAGTCAAAAAGGCCCCAGAGTATTTGTGTGGTTATAAAAGCTTCTCAATAAGGGTAGAATTGTAAGTTTAAGTAAAATTGTTTCCAAATTTAGAAATAGATCATTCTTTTTAGAATGAACCAAAAAAAATAGGTTTAATCGGAACGGAGGGAGTAATAAAAGTTTATTTACAAGACATAGCTAAATAACAAGGGCCAAGAGGTATAATAACTAAAAGCTTGTCTATTTATATCCCCCCTCAAACCCCCTTTCTTTCCACCGCTCATTTTCCTATAAGTCCTAAAGACATTCTGTTTTTGCTCTTCTGACTTCTCCTCACGAAAGAAGTTGATCTTCTTTTCAAGAAACAAGCTAAAACTTCCTCTAGTAAAACAAAATGGCCATAAGAAAATCCTCAAACAAGTTGTCACAAACAGCAGTGATTAAGCAAATCTTGAAAAGGTGTTCAAGTTTGGGAAAAAAGCATGGATATCAAGATGAAGAAGGACTTCCTCTTGACGTTCCCAAAGGGCATTTTGTAGTTTACGTTGGCGAAAACAGAACAAGATACATTGTTCCAATTTCAATTTTAACTAGACCTGAATTCCAGTACCTCCTACATCGCGCTGAAGAAGAATTTGGCTTTGATCATGACATGGGCCTTACAATTCCTTGTGATGAACATGTTTTTGAATCTCTAACGTCATCGTTAAGGTAAAATTAAAGACAGAAAATCGAGAAGACGAGGAACTAGCAGCTAGGATGTTGGAAGGAAAATTTTATACAGAAGTTCAAGAATCTGTTTTATTGCTTCTGTCCTTCATTTATCTTCTAAGTCACATTTTTCTTTTTTCTTTTTTTTTTTGGGGACTTTTGGGATCATGTTTATTGTTAACTAATTAACTGGAAATCCAATGTTAAGGATTTCTGTTTGTAAATCTCGAAAGTTTGTAATTTTCCTCGCAGTGGTGTTTAACAACATTTGTACCCTGTGAGAGAGTAATTAAACTTAATTATATATATTTTTTGGCTTAATATAATACCTTTCTTTTTCATTATTTGTCCAATTTATCTTTTCTTGGGGCTGTCCTTTAATTTGTGTAGATTCTGCTGATCTCAAGATTTTCAGGTTGCTTTTCTTTTTCTGGTTTTCTCACCGTTTTTCCCCATCATTGTCTAGGGGCACTATACGAGAATGAGGTAGGTAAAATTAGAAGAGAAAAGATGTGCATGTAAGTATTAATTTTATTAAGATGAAGTGTTAAATACGGTATATTGGCACAAGCATTAATCTACTAATATATATTTGCTTATAATGGTATGAAAAATATTTAATGAAGTAGATTTTCCATTGGGAGGTAATTGCATGATGTTCACTAGAAAGACACAACAATATGTTTGGAAAGTACAATGATTGCCTAGTCCTTTAGCCCTCACAGCGTATAGTTGACGTTTATTTAAAAAACAGGTGAAAATTTTCTTTTCGAACATTTTTTTGTCAGTTAGACATATTGCGGACTAGTAGAATAATTAATTATTGGCATATTCAGAATAGTGGTTTTCACTAACGAATTCAAAAATAAAAATAAAAAAAAATACAAAGAAATTAAGGGAATTCAACATATAATACATATACATAGAAAAAAAATTAATCTTATATACTGTTAATTTTCGGGGAAGGGGGTTCGACTGAACCCGTTCCGCCCACCTAGCTCCACCCCTGATTCAGAATGTCAAGAGTGACAATTTATGTGATGGAATAGTCAATAGCGTACCTTTCGCAAAAACTGAGATTTTTTTTTCAAATGCCATTAAACTTTTTTATTTTTTAGCTCAAGAGGTGCTTTCAGCTTTTGCAAAATTTGAGGTGTTCAAAATTTTTAAAAAAAATCAGCAGTTTTCTGAAAACGAGCGTCATTAATAATGTATGGGACTTTTCATGCGAACAAAGATTACTATGATATAGATACATATCTAAGGATTGTAGGTGTAGAGCTATATATGAATGGCCTTTCCGTATATAGGAAGGGGTATTCTTAATTTATAGAAATATGAATGGTTCTGAATTTTTACAGAGCCCACTTGTAGAGGGGTGCGGGGGGATTTTTCAGTGAAATTATGTTACGTTGGATAAGAGTTGCAGGGGTTATAAATAGTGCAATGCTGTAATGGTGTGGGAAAAATACTCTATCCATCCTCCCATCTATATAGATATCTGTCTATCTGTCTATTCAGAAGCGGATTCAGAATTTAAGTTTTATGCGTTCAATTTTTAAAATTTTTAGTATTAAAGCTATTCAATTTTTAAAATTATAGATTCAAATATACTATTTCTTACAATTTTAATAAAATTTTACATAAATTTATATTCCGTATCAAAAGTATTGGGTTCAAATAAAACTTTACTAGAATACTAGAATCCGCCTCTATGTCCGTCTAATTATCTATTTCTACGTATCTATGTGATACAAGCCAGAGAGAACAACACCCCAAAAGCTAGTAATTGGGGTGGGATAGTCCAAGACAATATAAACCCTACATCAGCAAACCACCACACCCCATATCCCTCGTCCTTGACGGTTGTGTATCACCATCCATGGCACGGTGGGCACAGAGGATGGTAGATGGCCGTTGATACAACCCATGAATATCACACCCAAAAGCTGCTATTAAGGTAGGAGAGCACAACGCTATATCAACCCCACATCAATACATTGCAATATCGATGTGTGGGACTCAAGTTTCATACCTTGCAATGGAGCATAACACATAACACTATGTATCTCTCCTGTGGCAGATGTAGCCTTTCACAGCAGGTGTGGCTGTAGAATGCAGAATTCGAGTCCCTGCTATGAACCTTAGCTTCATCAAAATTATGCAAGGGGTTTAATTCTTATATGATCACAATGTAATGCGTTTATAACTATCATGTCACTTAAGAGTTAACGATATATATGAAGCTGTCTATCATAAACGTGAATTGATAATCTGAAAAAGAGTGATACGTGGTCTGTTATACCTTTTTCTAATATTAAACTCTTCTAATTAGTTAATTTTGTCAAAATATCTTATCTTAGAGCCCATAACATAAGAGTATCGCAAAGGTATATAAACCTCTTTAGACATTGGAGCAACTTTCTTATAATAGAATTTGTGAATGACCAAGTACTCTGAAATTTTAATGTCTAGAATTATCACATCTATTGCTTCCCTTCAAAGAAGTGGTTTCTTTTCTTATATTAGGCTAAAAGAAAAGAGTTTGTTCCGCATACTCCAGCTTCACAGAGAAAATAAATTAAGGACCATAAGAATGTTGGTTAATGACTTCATCTTCATCATCTATATATCTGCTTCTTTAGCTAACTCCTCTAATTAACTTCTAATTATGAAATTCTGTACTTCCCTTGATATAAACTACAACGAGGAATTATGTATCCCCAAGGCAAAAACAATTGGGAATGGAAATCATTGGAGGCAAAAACATGTTTTAATTCGAGGGGATTATATGCCATTCATTTATTTAGTCCTAGGTCCAAAGAAAAAACAAAGTGAAGACCATGCCTGTGTATATTGTTTTGATTATCTTAGCTATCCAAATTAGTTGGGTGAACTTCAAATATAATATGGTTAAATGATTAATGGCCGAATATTTAAAACATAGGTGGAATTATAATTAGTAGTAGTACTATATAACAAGCATGCTGATGTTGGCAGGGGCGGAGCTACGGTGTTATTTGCGGGTTCGGCCGAACGCAATAGCTTTTGTTCAACCCCTGTATTTATATTAAAAAATTCAATAAATATGTACAAATTATTAATTTAGAACCTAATAACTTGAAATGATTATAATCCCGAACCCATAAGGTCCAAATCCTAGCTCCGCATCTGGAGGTGGGCACTCTTCACCTGAAACTATCTAATTAAACTCTATCTATGGACAAAGTGCCAACATATATACTGGCTTATGGATAAAGATTGTCTAAAATAAGTATGCAATACAAGTTGCTACCTTACGTATATACTTTAATTTGTTAAATAGCAAGTAGTAGGGATCGATGTTCTCATTGTTATACACAACTGGGGTTTAGGTCATTAATCTTCTAGACTTGCAAACTAATTAAAAACTACATATCTCTCTCTACATACATACGTACGTAAAACCTGACAAATGTGAGACAGACACACACAATGGTGCATAATTCATTTGACAAGTAAAATTTCAGATTAAAAAAGGGGACCACAACCTTAATCGTAGTAATGCAGAGGAGACAATGTTCACATGCAAAATAGAGAAAGATTATTGAAATTGATGTATATGGTAGTTTCAACTCCACATTCAACCGTGTCTTTTCAAAATTTCTTTTTACTATAAGATCTTCAGCCATAATTTCTTGTTTCTATTCTTCACATTACGTCAACTATGACATGCCATCCATAACACACTGATGTGATAAAACGGTCTAAAGATACTTTTAACATGGTTAAAATCTTTCCTTGGACTTCGATGACCGTAAATACTCGAATCATGTGGGTGACACACAGTTAATCTCCAAATTAGCCCTTAAACGGTGATGAGTCATATAAAACTTAGTTCAAGAGGGAGATTGTTGGGTGTGTGTAAATAAAGTTCCACATTGGTAGCTGAAAAGACTCGGAGCCTACACATAAAGTGTAGGGATCTCTTAATGGTGTGAGACTTTTTGGAAAAACCGTGCGGACTTGGCCCAAATAGGACAATATCACACCATGTTAAGAATATCATTGCCAAACCATTCAATTGAGGCGTTTTGGACGGAGTTTTCTGATGACGAATTCCTTGTTCTCTGCAATAGTTATCAAAGGGACCACAATATTCACCACCATTATTAGTGCGAATATATTTTAATTTCTTCCCCGTATATCTCTCAGCTAAGGCCTGAAATTCCTTAAACACGCCAAGTGCTTGATCTTTGGATTTCAAAAGATATACCGAGAGCTTTCGAGAATGATCATCAATGAAGGTCACAAAGTAAAGTGTACCACCTTTTGACTTTACTTTAAAAGGACCACACAAATTAGAGTGTACAAGTTCCAATAATTCGGGCTTTCTTGAAGGAGAGTCCTATGAAAGGAAACCCTTTTCTGTTTGCCAACTAAACAATGGATATACCTTTTCAGCTTTGTTTGTTTCACTCCAGAGAGTAAATTTTTCTTAGCCAAATACATAATCCCCCTCTCGCTTAAATGACTCAGTCTTCTATGCCATAATTTTGATAAAGTATCACCTTCCACTAGGTTTATGGAGTCATTAAGAATAGAGCCATGTGCAATATATAAATGAGAAGACTTGACTCCTCGAGCCACTACTAATGAGCCATTGGCGAGCTTCCATTGGCCAATAAAGAGGGCATTACGGTAACCTTCATTGTCTAATCTTCATGCAGAGGTCAAATTGAAAGAAACGTATGTAGATGCTTGACATTATGAAGAACTAACTCTGAACTATTATTAGTTTTCAAATAAACTGTGTCAACACCAAACACCTTAACCTCACTGGCATTGCCCATAGTTAACACTCTAGAGTCAACAGGAGTATACGATGAGAAAAAGTATTTTCTTGGTGTGACATGTGATGTAGCTCCAGAATCTATTATCCAGCTCGTCTCATGGGATACCAAATTGATGATATTTTTATCATAAGCAAAAAGAACGTCATTTCGAACAATAGCAACAATATTGTTCTCGTTATTTTCAACTTTCTTTCCTTGTCTTTCTTTAATTTGTGGCAGAACCTTTTGATATGTCCTTTCTTGCCACAATGGTTACACGGATAATTCTAATATTTGG